GACACTACTCACCAAGGTAGAATGTAGAGCATTGTCTTTATAAGCTGTGTCATGCCAATTGAGCTAGATGTTCCCTGAGACCATGGTTCCCACAGCCCTCCGCCCAGCAATTCAGTTGCTCAGGGAGTTTGGATGTGTCTGTGGGGCTTCCATGATCTAAAAGGCCATTTTTTGAAAGCAGAGATTGGATAAGCAGGACCTTCGTTAGCACCCACCACCTTTTACGTGAAATGACAAGTAGGAACGCCTTGCTGTTCCTCACACCCTTCCCTCCTCTTCCTCCTGCCCTTGGTCAGCAGCCTCGTTTCCCCTGTGTCGGCTCCATCTCCTCCTCCTCCTGCTCTACATCCTGACTCCTTGCCTCCAATGTGTTTCTTCTGAAAAGTGATGAGACTTGAAAACATTTTTTAAAAATACTTATTCAAATTACTTTCACTTGCATGCTAGTATGAAATGTTTTCAAAGTGGGGTGCAGAACTCAAATTCTAGTAAAAAGGCCAGACTTAATGGTTTGACTGAGACTACAGGGACCCCAGAAGACATGGCCCCTGGACTCTCTGTTAGCCCAGAACTGAAACAACTCCAGAGGCCAACTCTTCAGACAAAGATTGGACTAGACTGTGGGACATAAAATGATACTCATGAAGAGAGTGCTCCTTGGTGCAAGCAGATACATGAGACTAAGTGGGCAGCTTCTGTCTGGAGGTGAGATGAGAAGGCAGAGAGGGTCAGGAGCTGGTTCAATGGACACGGGAAATCAGAGGTGGAAAGGAGGAATGTGATGTCACAGTATGGGGAGAGCAACCAGGGTCATATAACAATGTGTGTATACATTTCTGTATGAGAGACTAACTTGAATTGTAAACTTTCATTTAAAGCACAATTTAAATAAATAAAATGTTTTCAGACAACCGGATGTCTAAATCATAGCCCTATAACCGCAGCGTGGACAGGGGGTCTCATGGTGGGCACTCAGCCCTCATGTCAAAGCCCTGCCCACACGCTGCTTTTTAATGCCACTTCCAGATGACCAAGGACACGGGAAGGACAGCGACCAAGAGCCTGACTCTCTTCTTCACGCTGCTGCTCATCTGTACGCGTTAATGTCAGTGGAAAGATTATAAAGGAAACGGCTTCCTATCTTACTCAAAACCACATGACTGAATTCAGTTTCTGAAACCCAGCCAAAAATACGCTATTTACATGCAGGAAATGCCTTTGAACGTTTGTTGGCTGACATGGGTGTCAAAACAGATTATTAGGGAACTCTATTCCTCCATTTCTTCCACAAGAATGAAAGATACAGACAAATTATCTAACTGAACAAGATAATAGGCTTTATGCTGTACCTGGCTAAGTCACTTTTCGGGCAATGATGCAGCTAAAGCCGGTTCAGAGAATATAAAGCCGTAATGAAAACAAGCCAGCTCCTTCACTTAAGCGGGACAGCACAAGACCAACAGAAAGATTAAAAAAGACAAAGATTACTAAGCTGGGATTTCGGAAAGGATCGGAAACAGCACGGCTACACGTACGTGGAACTGAAGTCGGCCCAGTTGTTGGGGGTCGTGGAGGGCTCAGAGGCGGGCCCTGCAAAGGGGGCGGGGGTCTCTCGCAACGCCAGTTTGGGCGCAGGGGCGGATGCTGGGCCGGTGGCTGGTTTGGCTGGGGCGGGAACCTCGTTTTCTGAGATTTTCTCTGCGTAGTTTGCGGGGAACCATCCCGTCTTCCCTTTGAGCTCTCCTCCGAGCCATCCAGGCTCTCCCGTTTGGCTCTCGTCCACCTGCAGAAAAGTCACCACACTTGACGTTAAGTGGAAAGAAATCCACCAAATACACCAAACACCTTCCGGAGCAGAGCCCTCGGCCTCTGACCCTCTCACACTGACCCGCAACGTGGAGACTTCTTCCTTTTATTCCAAGTGTCTGGATAAACGGTCTCTAAACATTAACTGAAAAAACAGTGAGTACTAGAACGCAAGTTCGCACTTTTTATACTTTTTTAGCCTTTTCTTTTTCTAATGACGGCACTTAGGACAAAGTGCTGGAAGACCTAAGGCACACAGCGTGAATTTTTAGAGCTACTTTGAACTGGAAAGTAATCTGACAGGCTTCATCACTCAAGAAGTCAAATAATTATTTTAAAAAAATTTTTTTGACTTGCATTTATTATTTAAAGTTGAAAGCAAAGGGTGCAATAAAAATAAATTTAGTCATCTAAATAACAACTAAGTAACATTTATTCAGCACAGAGACAAGGACGTTAAAAACACAGGCTTGGATGGTTTCCAAGGGAGACGGAACTGTGTTCAGTCATTTAAAAATCCCACAGATACATGAGGAGAACATCAAGGGAGTGATTTACACAACAATCGACTTTATTAAGGCCCTATAATCCTTCACATGAATTTGACTCTAATATCCCAAAAGTACACGAGAACATAGGACTCTGCTGTTTCAGATTTTCAGAGGCTACTTATTACGCCAAGTGCTTCTAATGTTTGCATTTTGTTTTAATTCCAACTTTACAAGCTGCCCCACTATTTTACGAGCAACAGCGGAAAGAGTTTGAGTCCAATTACATTCACTTTTAGAAAACTATGTTCATTGCTGTAAATTCAGATAACAGTCTGTCAGGGACTCTCTTATTCTCAGCCCTGCATACGCTGCCTAAGGAGATAAGACATGGAACACCTCACTGGATGTTAATGCTGCTGCTGAGAAAGCCCAGAAGTGGGTGTTCGGGTCTTGCACAACAATGCTACTGAAAAAATCGGCAAAATACCAGTTTTCTAATCCATTCAAATACTCAGTTTCAAAGAAAAAGGGGGGGAGGACTATTAAACCAAATGTCTGTCTGCACTCAGTGCAGAGTAATAGGACATAATCTTCATTATCTTATTTGAATTTAAAAAAATATTTGGGGTAGGGGTGGAGAGAGTAGTAGAATTCATGGCTTACTAGTTAATACTACATGGTATTTACAAAATATTCAGTAAGCACGGGACATTTGTTTGCTGTTCCATCTTAACCATCAAAACCCAACCCATTGCCGCTGAGTCGATTCCAACTCATAGCGACCCTATGGGACTGAAGAGAACTGCCCCGTTGGGTTTCCAAGGAGTGCCTGGTGGATTTGAACTGCCGACCTTTTGGTTAGCAGCTGTAGCTCTCAACCACTACGCCACCAGGGTTTCCGTTCCATCTTAGGAAACCTTTATTGTCAAGGATAAAAGTCATAGCGACCCTATAAGACAGAGGAGAACCGCCCAACAAGGTTTGCAAGGAGCGGCTGGTAGATTTGAACAGCTGACCTTTTGATTAGCAGTTGAGCTCTTCACCACTGCGCCACCAGGGCTCCTACAGCTGAGAATTCTCCAAACCACCAAGGAGTTCCCTCAGATAAGGTGCACTAATACTTCCAAAGGTTCTGCTTTTGGCTTTGCAGTTGCGTTCTGCTTGTTCACACGTCTATCAGATGTGAACACGTGAGCTGCTTTCATTCAAGTCTCCCACACTGTTTTCTTTTTACTGTCCTTCTTCTGCATAGCCCCAGCTGTTTCTCCAGGTGAAAACTTAAGATGATTTTTTCCACTTGGATCTTATTTTATGCTAAACACCAAATGGCTATATGCCCTTCCTTCCTCGTTTGTATATACTGGTGGACGCATTGCAACCTTGCAGCTGCTCCATACTGGAAACAGCTATTTCTACGCCAGGTCACACAGCAGCCTCCCTGACTTCTCAAGTTCATCAGCCAAGTCCTACCACCCTCACTTCTACTCCAGGACCAAGGACACCACCAGGCAGGAGTCAGTGAGAAACGTGAGCCAAACCCACCACAACACGGCCCCAAGACCGCCAGGTGTAACGATGGATGCAGGGCTCTGCAGTTACGCTGCTTCCATCTAAATACTGATTCCACAACTTAACTGTCGACTTTGGACAAGTCTAATCTCTTGGTGCCTCACTTTCCTCATCTGTAACATGGGGGTAATCAGAGTACCCATTGTACCATGGTTGTTGTGAGGACTGATTGTATTTCGAACATTGCCTAGTATAGGAGAAGGATTTAATGGCAGATTTTTAAAAGCCACCTCTCCTGCTGTCCAGCTCTGACTCTGCTGCAGTTTCCTTAGCTGGGCTTTGGCCCTGCCCTGAAACCCTGCCCTCCACTTCCCCCTCATGTAGATAACAATCTGCTCCAGGAACATGCCTGGAATCTCATCTCACTGGGTCTGTCTCCTTGCCAGTAACCCTCTAGGGGGTGGAGTTCAATCCCTGACCACTGTCTGTCTGGGGCTCCGACTGGCCTGCCTGAGGTGGGCCTCCTTGATTCCCAGCTCTTTTATTTAATTATATCCTGCATAATTAAGTTATTTAATCATATCCTTTAGAGACAGTAGAAGCAGATCTGAAGCCCTGAGGAAATGCTCCACCCCGTGGGCAGGTCTAGCTCACACCCTAGTTAACTGACCACACCCAGTCCTGTCACCCAGATAGGACAGAAAGGAGCCCCACCACTGGAGTGTGATTGTACACTCAGGACGGGGGGAGAGCGCCAGGTCAGCCTCTTCTCTCTGCAAGCAAGAGTCCCTCCCATCCCTCAGGGCAAGTGAGTTCAGTATTTCACTGTTAACGGAGGAAATTCACCCATCAACTTGGCCAAACTTTAGTCTCAATCAGTTTGATTTATTCTTATATAAATCCATTAATTTTAGTGGATAATTAAAATTTAATTTTAAGGAAGATATAATAAAAACCCACTCTTGAGATCTAAATTATACTAACCACTCAGAAAAAGCACCAAAGATCAACATGAAAATGAAAAAATATTTCTTCCTGAATTTGGGAAACTATCCAAATTGCCAATCCAGCTGTGGAAAAATATTACACGAGCTTATGACATACCAAGAAAAGTTAGGCAGACTTCTATAGAAGTGGCTGACTGTAATGTCGACTTTTACATAAAGTCGATTCATATGCTGGTGGCTGTAAGTCGGGGATTTTAATAGTAATGAGATCATCTTAAAGCAATGCAATTTCATTTAACCAGGCCCACAGCAACACCCCAAAGCATGAGGTCATTCTCGCGGAACACCATCAAAGTGAGAAGAACAAACCCCAGATATTGCTTACATATCTGGGAGTATGTTCCAGAGTGGTGGTTGTTGTTGGGTGCTGTCGAGTCGGTTCCGACTCACAGCGACCCCGTGTACAACAGAACGAAACACTGCCCGGTCCTGCGCCATCCTCACAACGGTTGTTACGCTTCAGCCCACTGTTGCAGCCACTGTGTCAATCCATCTCACTGAGGGTCTTCCTCTTTTTTGCTGAACCTCTACTTTACCAAGCATGATGTTACAGAGCTAGTCTACAAAATGTTAGTAACTATAATTAATTAATTAGTAATGATACTCTGCACTTGGTAGGGTATTGACGCAAGGGTCAAACGCAGATAGTACGTTTAGCTAAAGCCCAGTAACAATCACTAAGTTGCTTTACATGCGCCGTTTTTCTCAACGTTTGTATGTCTAATGTCTGCCGTCTTTGCTAGGTAGCGGCTGCCTGGATGTGCTGAGGGCTGCAGGTGGCAGAACATGGTTCACGTTTTTGCTAGCTCAAAATGGAAAGTTTCCCCTAATACTCCTAAACGGACCATTTCTCCACCAAAAGAACAAGGAAGGAAGGAAACGAGTTCAAATTGTTATAAGAGTAACACTAAGTTAGAAAACAAAAATTTCCAGAATGAATTGACTGGTTGATGGCTGATAAATGGTAAACAAGTCCCTTCTTCTTCCTTGGAAATTAATAAGAGGGTATTTTCCAGATAGGATTTAGGATTAGTCCTGACAGGAAAAAGAGATTAGGTTAGATCAGTGGTTCCTGAAAATGACTCCCTAACAGAACCACCTGCGCTGGATTTTGAAGACTGTATATGGATTGAACATTCTCAGAATCTCTGGGGGTGAGCCCTGGAATGTTAGTTTGTTTTTTTAAACTCTCTAAGTAATTCTGATGTACTCAGCTATGTCCAAGGACCAGCATTTTGGAACCACTGAGTTAGATGATCTCTGAAAATGTCTTCCAGCCTGTGTTCTTAGGATAAACCTCAACAAAACAGCAGTCAGCTGAAGCCTTTTAATTCCTAATACTATCCCAATACATTACAGAAGTCACATCTGATTTATTCACCCTTCAAGTATAGGGACTCCTCGATCAGAAGAGAGGCCACCTATTCCAAAATTTCTAAGACTTAACTGTCAAGGTCAAACTCACCAAGAAGCTTCCACTAAGAAGTCTTTTCCTGAACACATCAGCTCACACTGGTTTCTTCTCTCTTTCAAATGCCTAGCACTTACAGGGAGCATTCATGGAAAACTTCATCACACACTCGCTTTTTGTGTTTCTTCCTGCTTTTCTAAAAAGATTTTAAACATATGAATGGCAGGCACAGAAGTCTTAGTGGTGCAAATGGTTAAGCGCCCAACTGCTTCCCAAAAGATTACAATCAAGAAAACCTATGGGGCAGCTCTACTCTGTCGCAGGAGGTTGCTATGAGTCAGAAGCAACTCAATGGCATCCAACAACAACAACACGGCAGATATTACCTTGTATTTTTTTGGGATCATCAACGTTTAGAACAGGGCTACGTACAAAGTATCACATCAAATTTTCATGAACCATGAAAAAATATTTTTGGAGAAAAGTGGGCTGATAATCAAATTTCATGAAAATCTTTCTTTAAAGCCCCTCCCCAAGACTTCCTGTATTAAAAAGGAAATCTTTTTTTTAGATTTGTGAAACCTAACATGTATCGTGAGTTACTTTTCAAAGAAGTTTGAGAAATCTGAGATTCTGACGATTGCTGTGTCCACAAAAGTAAAAGTGAACCCTTGGTGCTTGACCCGAGGAGAGTGGTATTCTATCACCTGATCTCACGTCTGTTCCTTTAACTGCGAACTTCATGAAATGAAAAAAAAAACTGTTGCTACTACATGTCAATTTCCATTTTTTGCGTTGATTTATATCCTCACAAATACCGCTGAATGGATTTGAAGTGTCGTGTTGCATTTTGTGCAAAATGAAGAGGCTGTTGTTCCTCCAGGAAAACAATAAATTACACCTAATGGTACATGGCATACTTCATTACGTATTTGGGATGTCTGAGGTAAAGTAAACGTCATTCCAGCGCTGGTAATATTCTCTGCTACACTTGTCTCTGAAGTCAGTTTTTTTTTTTTTTTAAAGTGTTTTTTAAAAGTTAGAAATGTAGTACATTTGTAAGTAAGAAAATAATGCAGAAGTGTATAAAATCAAACACAAAAGCCCTTCTTTACTGTCCAGTGGTAACCACTACCAACAATATGATGCATGTATTTCAAGACTGTTAACTATGCATATACAAACACCCACATATACACACATGCAGTTTTAAACAAAAATGCAAATTACACTCTACATACTGTTTCTGCTTTTTCACTGGACAGCTTATTTGTATATGTAGATCTCTATAATATTTTAATATCTCATTGTATTTATTGTGGCTAAACATAATTCAGTGAACCATCCTTTTACTGATGGACATTTGGGCTGTTTCCTTTTCTGCTTTTACCAACAACCCTGCAGTGAACACGCACGGACACATATATTTGTGCATATACCAAGAAACAGCCTATGGGAGAGGGAAAAGCAGAATTTCTGGGTCATGAGGAATGGGAGTTTTAAATTTTAACAGGTATTGCCAAATTGCCTTCCAAATGGTTTAACCAATTTATACAACTCTGCTGATAGCATATATGTTCCTCCCTTTTCTCATACTCTTGACAAAGCTGGGTATTATGAAACTTTTAAACTTGCTCATTTGACAGATGAAGAAAAATGCCACCTTGTTGTTTTAAGTTGCATTTTCCTGATCACCATGGAAGATAAGCATCTTCTCACATATTTTTAAAAATCATTAACTTTTCTTCACCTGTGAATGTCTCTTCATATCCTCTACCAATTTCCAAGGTTTGTGGCTCTTTTTCTTATTAATGTGTTGGAGCTCTTTATGTAGTAAGGCCATAACCTTTCATATTTTGCAATATAGAAATTCCAATTTTTATATTGTCAACTCTGTCCACCTTTGTCTTTTGTGTCTTCTATTTTTTTGTGGCTTAGAAAGGCCTTTCTTAGCCACAAAATTATTCCAAACTTCTCCTTTTTTTTTCTTTTAATATTTTTAGCATTTTAGCTTTTAAGTTTAATCTACTTGGAACTTGGTTTTGTCCATGGCCTGAGATGGAGACTTGACCTAATAACTTGCTAAATGCAGAGTCTTCAAGGCCGCATTAAAAATGGAATCTAGAAAACAAAAACCAGATACACAAACTCAGAGCATTTACACCGTTTTTTTAAAGCACAACTTACTACACAGACTCAACACCAACCAAAGGTATGCGTGCTTACACAGAATTCAGGCGATCTAAAAGAACAGAACATGGAATAAGATGCAGACTTCCTGACAGCCACAGAGCACTTACCCATTCCCCTTTAACCTCCACCAGGAAAGCAAAGGTTTGAAAGCAAGGCAAAATACATGTTTAATGACATTTTATTCTTACCAGAATATCTAAACTCTATTCATCTAACCAAGCTGCTGGTTAAGCCAACTACAGGAAAGATCGCCAAAACAGGATAAGGATCATAGAAGCGGCCCCAAATATGCTCCCTTGAAAAATAGCAACATTTTTTCATGAGGATATAGTTCATCTGTAGCACTTCCTGATCGTACACATTTCCTCATAAAGACGCGACGGCCTTACTTTTCTGCACCTTGCGCTGCAACAAGATCCAGCTGTGAAAATATCAGGCTTTTTTTTTTTTACAATGTAAAAAAAAAAACTTTGTAATGAATGAGACCCTATCCAAAGCCACACTGTATTTTCAGTTTTTAGATTCCTGTTATTGCAGGGTATTCGTACATTCCACAATTCATTTGCTTTAAAAGACACAACATTTCAAATACGAAGCAATACGAGTAAAGTAGACTCGGAGCAGAAGAAAACAGAGGAGGAACTGAGAGATGGTGAGGTAAGGAGGAAGCTTACAAACTATCACTGCTAGGTTCACGTGGACAGAGGGTGCACCCCGACTCACGAGTCCTGCACAACTCCGGCGGTAAAGAACCAGCGAGCCAGCACTCAGCAGCCATTCGCTGACTAAAGGCGTGGGGAGCATCTGAGGAGTTTTCATTATTGTTGAGGTGACTGTGAGTTGTAAAGATTTTGGAACTTTGGGCTTGTCTCCCTTATTTCCAACCCATAGTGATTAGAGAGAAAGCAGCTATCAGAAAATAAAGGGAGAAGGCGTTGATCCCTCCGGGGACCAAACACACTGTTCCTTCTACTCCGCTCACCGAAGAGCGCCCTCTCCTCACGGAGGTGTGATGCACACACACCAGGCGGGCACCTGGGTGAGACACGTGGTCCCAGTATGAGAAACACGTGTTTCAATTTTTAACTTCAGCTGTTCTTTTAAAATTCTGAATGGGTCTCATCTTAAAAAGAAAAAAAAAAGCTAGTATCAATGCAAAGAAAATCTAACCACTTCTAAGAATTTTATTCTTAAAGAAATAACTAGATCAAGGAGCTACTGTTTTCCTTTAGAAAATGATCTAGGTCAACCACATCGCTTTACTTCTTTCTTAGGACGGGTTACTATAGTTAGCAGTCAACTGCAATCTTAAGATTATACTTAATTATTATTAGAATTAAAAAACTATGACAAAACAAAATTCTGAAATTTTCATCTGTTAATCGTGTATGCAGTAGGAAAGCAAAGTCACTGTACTTAATTTATCACTTTTCAGACAGTTCACAGAATTAAAAGGGGAAAAGATGCTGTCATCCAAAGATAAAAAGTTATAATTGGCAATTGTGAGAATGATGATATTTTGTGCTTAAAACTATTTCTTACGGATTACTCACAGTGTGTAAGTACTAACCTCAACTCTGAAATTATCAGACATTCATAGATTTAAAAAAAATTATGCTAAGGCTGTGATAAGAACACCTTTTATTTAGTAACATTATTTTAAGATGATGTTAGGGTAAGTTTTCAGAATGTCATCTTTCATTCTAAGAGAAAGGAGGCAGATGAGCCTATACATCCCTAACCCGATGCCAGATTACTGGATTCCATACTTGCAAAAAACTGTCCAACACAGCACAGAAAGAGGACAGGCGATAATCACCAACAGAAATCACTCTCCCGCTGGCGTCTGTCTTACCATGACTATGTCCCCCGGCTGAATGGTGATTTCATCATGGCTTCTGGATTCAAAGGGGTATAAGGCTCGGTAATACACCACTTTCACGTTCTCCTGGGCGGAAATTGTAAGCGGGCCTTTTTCTGTTTACAGAAGATGGGGGGAGGGCAAAAAAATCATACATTACACGGAACAGAAAGGCACGACAATTCACGTAACCACATGTCCTCTGCTGCCCGCCTTCACACCTGAGCTAGGAATTTCTGAAACACGGAATGTCACAGGACAGCCGAATCTGACGTCAGCACTCAGCCCACCTGAGAGGTCATTAGCTGACTCTCCAGGACAAAGGTCAGGTGACCCTGTGTGCGCACCAGGCTACCCACAGGTCCCCTCACTCTGCCTCCTGGTGTGGACCAAACCCTCCTCCCACCCACGCATCGGGCACAATCCAGCAGTTGGGAAGTGATTCAAAGTCTGAATCAGCCAAGGAGGAAGCTCATTTGGAAAGGAGCAAAAAAGCACAACTTATTAAAAAACCATGGAAATGACATAAGTGTTAATCTCACCAAGAATGGTTATCACTAATAATTCCTGGTGAAATGAGTATTCCTCTGCATTTCTTAGGGGGGACAAAAAAAGCCTAAGGACTCAGGATAAAAAGAATTGGGATTTTAAATGAAACAAAATTTTTAAAAATGCATGCAAGCAGAGGCTATTCTGGGTTCTGGTCAACAACAACTCGTAACGGCTCCCTGAGCCACTACACCCAACAGCCGCAGCATTCAGACACATTTATCTTCTCTGAGAGGCAGGGAGGTGGACGCGTTATCTCCATGGGTCTTCACGTGCATAAGCAAAATTTCCCATTGACTGAAAGGGAGAAAAAAATCCTCATTTTACACCAGGAGGAAGCACAAGGGACTTAAATTAATTGCCTAAGATTAAGTAAGAGTGAAATGATTTTCAGTTCAAAAAAATACCAAAAAATGTATTTACCCTCCTAGGTCAGGGCTGCTACCGTGTGGATGTAAGACTTGTCAGCTTTGGCCTCCAGGCTGCATGCACACTAAGGCAGAAGGAGCCTGATCCAGCTCTGTCCCTCACTCCAACCCCCGCCCACCGCGCAGACAGGCACCGTACAAACCCGCATGGAGTCGCTCGAAAGTGGGTTTCTTTTTTTTTTCTGTATATATACCATCGTACTTTACCATTCAGAGGAAAAAACAATCACTTTCTTCGGCTGAGTATTATTTGCAAAGCTGTACAGTACTGCAGAGCCACATTTCAAACATTCACTACAGCCTGCATCCAATATTATATAACTTTCTCTAGCTATTTCAGATTAGATATCTTTCGTTTATCAGTTTTTTAAAGAGGTAAATTATGGTCAAAGGGCAAACAAAGCCGCTCTTTTCAAAAGACGTAAAGACAGCGTAATGCAGAGGAGACTGCACGACACATGAGCGCAGGCACTCCCTGCTGCTGGGACAGCTCGGCAATTCCCAGGGAAAACACCACACCAGAGAAGCTGAAGGCTCTTTTTGCAGGAAAGCTCACGCCTCCATTTGGTGTACAGGTGTGTGCCTGAGGCTCAGTGATGGGCTTCACGCCATTCTGTTAACTCCGTACGGACTTCTGGCTGCTGGTGTGACACAGGCCATGCAGAATTACCAGACACCAGAGAAGCCCCTGAGTACCAAAAGGCTGGTGGTTGGAATCCACCCAGAGGTGCCTTGGAAGAAAGGCCTGGTGATTTACTTCTGAAAAGTCACAGCCATTGAAAATCCTATGGAGCACAGTTCTCTGAACACACATGGGGTCGCCGTGAGCCGGAGTCGACTTGATGGCAACTGGCTGGTTAATGGTGCTTGAGAACAAAGAGCTCTGAGGAGACCAGCCGCACTGCCACGACACAGGGACTGGCCTTTTCGCGTCTACTGGTTAGCTAAGATGGGGTCTGATAAGATATGGAAGTTTCTCAAGGGTTCTGGGCAAGAAGATGACTCAGTTCCTAGATCTGTTCTTGCCTCCGTTACCTGCGGTGGACCAGGGTGCTTGGACAGCTGCCTTCGCCGGCTCTGGGTGCTGAAGGAACAGCCGAGTCAGCTTGTCCTGCACCTCTGGTCTGCCTTTGTCCTCCATGTCCTTCTTTTTGACACACTCGTCCCTCTTCAGTCTCTCTTCATCATGGAGTTTCCTCGGCCGCTGGTGCTCGTCCTCCCGCTGCATGGGCTCCAGCCGCTGCTTGCCCCTTTCCTGAGCTCGTCTGCCAACAGAAACGCTCGATTACAGCAACGAAGACATTCCAATTCAACACAACTTTGTCTCTTCTCACAAGTCAATGGGACATTCAGCATCAAGGGGACACTGCTCTTCAGACAGAGCGATCTGACCGAATGAGACACGCTCTGGGGGCTCCAAACCGGAGTGAGACAAGGCACGTGATGTAGAAAAACACAGAGAAAATTTCTGATGGATTTTATAAGGTGACTATAAAAATAACGAACACTCCTCAACTTTAAAACTGGTATTTAACTACAAAAAATATTTAAAAACTCTGTCCAAAGGACTCATGGACCACAACTACCATGGCCTCCACCAGACTGAGTCCAGTACAACCAGATGGTGCCCAGCTACCACCACTGACTGCTCTGACCGGGACCACAACAGAAGGTCCTGGACAGAGCTGGAGAAGGATGTAGAATAAAATTCAACCTCATAAAAAAAGACCTGACCTTGCTGGCCTGACAGAGACTGGAGGAAGTCCCGAGAGTACGGCCCCCGCACACCTTTGGTTAGTAGCCGAGCTCTCAACCACTGCACCACCAGGGCTCCTTCTACTCCGTGGGAATATGACATTTCAGTGCAGCACAGTGTGGGGCCCTGGTGGCGCAGTGGTTAAGACACTGGCTGCTAACCAAAAGGTCGGCAGTTTGAATCCACCAGCCGCTTCTTGGAACCCTATGGGGCAGTTCTACTCTGTCCTGTAGAGTCACTATGAGTCAGAATCCACAGCAGCAGGTTCGTGGGTTTTTTTTTTTTTTTTTTTTGGTATAGTGTGAATAATAGAAGCATTTTATAAACTTTGGAGGTAAGAAAAGGATAGAGTTAGAGTTAACCAACACACACAAAGTCATAAATAATCCTTAGTCTACCCCCAAGAAAACCATAAAATGGTCTTCTAAACTGGTTTGGGACCCTAGTCAGTTACCCACTGGCATTAAAAAAAAATCAGACTACTATACTATACATACTAGAATGATAGTCTGATTTAAAAGAAAAAACTATGTAATAGTTACACACATGCTCATACATGCATGCAGGCACACATGCTACGTTAAGTCCTAACAAAACACGCGTGAGTCTTGGCAGTTTAACGGAGCTCAGCCCAATATGGACTTGCCTGAAGTATCTTATTTCTTCATCTTTTCAGTCTAACTTCAGTAACCAGATTTTATAATTTATAGCATATCGTTGAGACACTTGGTCACTTTTGCTTCTCAGGAGTCTAAAATTAATCGAAGCTTTAAAAGCAAATGTCCAATAACAAAATCAGACACCCCGAAAGTTCGAAAATAAATTGCTGCAATTTACTACAGAAAGTTTTAAAAAAAACCCACAAACACAATCATTCAAACAAAAATGTCTCTGTAGATAAGCAGCAGTGGCAAATTTTCTCCTTTTGTATTGAGTTTAATTTGCAGCTGAAGAAAAGAAGAAAGAAGCTGGAGTGGCCCAGTCCTACCGGAGAGCCACAGAGAGCCACGCAGAGCAGGCTCAGGGCCTTGGATTTCAAACCCTGCACTCTGACCACCACTGGTATTAAAGGGCCATAACTGGAAACCTACTCTGGTCATTGCATGCAAATGAGCACACCGAGTATCCCAACTTCCTCATCTAATTCCATTTATCTGCATAGTAGGGAAAGCTCTGGGAGCTAACAAAAACTTCAGGGGGTACTTACACACGCAAAGATTTATATACACATACACTTGTGTTTGCACCTCTGCTTGCTCATGCACACTCACACACACACCACTCAAAAGACTCACCTTTGGGCTTCCTCTTTCTGTTTTTCTAATTCTAGGATCTTTCGCTCTTGTTCTTTCTGCTTCAGGCGTTCAGCCTCTATGGACTTTTGCTTCTGGAGCTGCTGTTTGTTATGTATTTCTCTTAGTTCCTATAAAGAATCAAGAAACAGGTCACATACTGACATGCGGACTGGGCGTTTCAACTGTTGATCCACACGCAGCATTTCCTGGTGGGGACGCCTAGGGAACTTTGGAGGTAACAGTTCAGATTTGAAAAAAGTTTAACCTGGAACACTGAAATCACTCTATATTTTGACATGACCTATCTCCAGAAGCCGCTCAGGATTATTTCAGTGGGCCATAACACATGATAACCATTTTCCATGATTTGCTTGAGAAGGAACTTGGCAGTAGAGAAGGCATCAGAGAAGCTACACTGCTACAGACCTCAGCAATAATGGCAGAACTCAGCCAGCTTTAACATATGGCAATAATCACGGATAAAACCTTAAGGCTCCTCTGATATCCAGTCAACAACAGCCTCTACTGGCTTTGAAAATAACAGACCTCCTCACACACTACCTCCATTCAACCTCAGCTCCTCCATGTGATACGCTGCCTTAGAACAAATGGACAGGCCTCTGCTCTACGACTTCAGTCTTACCCCCAGGGTCTATTCTTCTTCAAACCACACCTCCTCCAGGACCGTCTCCTCTTAACGGATTCATGTGAGAAGTTGTCAGCCGTCCCAAACTAAACTGGCCGTCAGACTGAAAGTACAAAACTATTACCTTGATGATCACCTCATGGGATGTGATTTCCTCATTTGAAAGGAGCCCCAGGAACAGCTGGAATTTCCTCAACAGACCACTGAACATAAAACGCATTCTATGGTATTTCAAGTACTCAAGTCAGAAGTGTAAACACCCAAAAGTATGAAGAACAAAGGAAGGCCTGTTGAGGGGGAACCCTCTGATTACATAGGAATCACATGGTCAGTACAGACTTAGTCACTGAAACTTCTCTTACTTGGGTCAACAACAAATCAGGAGTCCAAGTGTCCACTAAAGCTAACAGTGGACTTCTGGTTGACTTCTTGGTCTGGTGAACCAGAGCTAATCCTCCAAGTGGACAGCCCAGGAGTCTACATGGTGAGGTTTAAGGACCGAAGCCTGTCCTGTCTTCTGTCGCCTTGTTCACTCTAAGACCAAATGGACAGGTTTCTTCCTGGCCCTATATTGCTACCCTTAGACTCATTCAGAGACTGAACAACAGAGGTAGAGGGATTGCCTGTGCAAGGTGAATGTTAAAATACACTTGTGACCAGAGAAAAGCCTTAAGTGTTACCTTAACCTTTTTCTACTGGCTAGACTAGTCTCTCAGGGGAGGCTTGTGTGTTGCTATGATGCTGAGCAGGTTTCAGCAGAGCTTCCAGACTAAGACAGACTAGGAAGAAAGGGCTGGAGCTCTACCTCCAAAAATCAGCCAAGGAAAACCTTATGGATCACAACGATCCCTTTGTCCACGGGGTAACCATGAGCCTGGAGGCCAACTCTATGGCAGCTAACAACAGACTATTCTGCAGATAAAGTTAAAATGCATATACATGTGTTTTGTAAACTTTAAGTGACAGTTGCGAGGCATTGAAAGGGAACAAAGATAAAACAAAGTAAAGTTTAATTGGAGATTAGGAGGTTGTGGGAGGAAGGTGGGGGGTGGGGGAGGAAGGAAGGGGCTTCATTGAGGAACCCAGCACATGACTGGGAATATCCAGGCAGGATGCAGTAGGAAGAAGCAACTTAGTTAAGCACAAACTGGTGGACTACTTTCTATGGCAGCAGGTCTGGGCATGTGGCTTCCCAATCAGGAAAGGCGCCTGGGACAGGAGGCTGGCCAGGGAGAGGCAAGGGCAAGCAGGGAGACTGGGGAGTAAAGATGTGGCCTCACTCTGACTGTTTAAAGTTCAACACAGAGGAGAAAATCAACATCGGAGGAAAAGAAGTCCATGTTTCATTACCTTTCTCACTGCCATACCATGGGATATAAAACTTTAATGTGGGAACATTCAGCAGTATTGGTTTTCGTAGTAATTTGAAATCAAGCATAAATAGCCATCTCAAATACTACAAATGAAAAAACCTGGTTAATACTCTGGATTTGATACTTCAGAGACAAACGGAAAATGGCACAATTCCTGTTGTTAGAGCAATCTACGCTCGTGGTTCCAGTTAACACCTCTAAATGAAAAGGAAAACTGCAGTGGGGTGACATTAAATCAAACTCTCAATGTCCTAAAAGCAGGGCCAGAGCTCCAAAGTCAGCACTCAGGAAGTCCACTCCCCACGGAGAGGGGTGGCCTGCTCTATCATTAGTCCAGTCACTGAGACAGCCTTTAAAGGAAAGAGCGAAAAGTGACTGAAAGATTTACTTTTTTTCCTGCCTTAAACTTTGATCTTCAATAGCATAAAATTCTTAAATGGGTTCAGAAAGAACAATTTCTGGCCATGGATGATAATTAAATGGCCCTGAACTGGAAAGGCGGGATTCGAAGCGCGCGGGTCCCTAACGTGGGCCGGCAGCGGGGGCATCTTTACGTTCTCCTTCAGCTCCGAGATCTGTCGAATTCGTAGACGCCACTCATCACATGGGAATTTACGCTTTGTTTGTTTCAGTGCCCCTTTATTTAGGTTTTACTCTTACTGCAAGAATACAAAAAGGTAACCAGTAAACAGAATTAACTTGAGCTGAAATTAAATAGAAACGAGTTAAAGAGTTAGAGATGACAAGGGAAGAATATCATTTTAGCTTGATGATCTAGTAAACTGATTATATATTAGTAAGGAAAAGTTCTGACTTCGTCCAGGAAAAAATGTATTTCTAGGCAGGGTGATATTCACTATATTGAGCAAGAGGGACGCACAGCGCTGACCCATCAGAACGGATGATGGCCAGGGCCGTAATGACTGTTAATATACTAGAGACCATGTGCAGAAATAGTCCTCATTTTATCAAATAATCACATTGCACATTTCCTTTATACACTGGGCCCTGGAAATTGGGTGTAGAGTTATAGCTCATTAATTATCAGATACAAAGTCAAGACAGATGGAAGTAAAGCTAGTAATACATGAGAAGCACTATAAAATGAAAATCAGTAAGAAACAAATTTAAAACATCTACAGAAAAAAAATCAAGCCAACGAGAAAGTTTTAAAAACAATTCTAAAACATATCATATACATGAGGAAAGATACCTAAATATAAAAAAAAATAACATTTATTTCTGAGTAGAGCGGCATTACAGGACAGGCTGGACCTATCTTTGGAATTGTCCACACAAGCCGCAGCTTCAAGTACCTCCAAAGAAATGGAGCTTGTGGCAGCCGCAAAATAACAGATGTCAAATACGGTAACAGAAGGCTCTGGTCCTTACACCCAGATTTGAAGACTGCGAAGTTTTTCTATCATTTCCCTCATCCAAGTCAGACATTGCTGAGATACACAATCAAACGTCAGAAAATCAAGAGGGTGTACACAGGCAGGCATGCCAGGTCTTCTTCTCTTTTCTTGGACTTAGGAGTTTAACATGGCATGAACCAAGATAAGCAGAAAATTTATGAAAATTTATGCATGCAGAAAGAATTACGGTTTTGGCGAAGAATATTGAATATACCATGGGCTGCGTCTTGTGAGAAGTACAGCCAGACTGCTCCTTAGAAGTGAGGCAAGACTTCGTTTCACGTACTTTGGGCATGTTATCAGAAAGGACTCGTCCCTGGAGAAGCACATCATGCTTGCCAAAGTAGAGGGTCAGCGAAAGAGAGGAAGACCCTCGACTGGATGGACTGACACAGTGGCTGCAACAATGGGCTGAAGCGTAACAATTGTGAGGATGGCGCAGGACCGGGAAGTGTTTTGTTCTGCTGAACATAGGGTCGCTATGAGCCAGAATTGACTCAACGGCACCTAACAAACAGATCGATAAAAATTTTTTTTTTTAAGTTGAACTTCTGAGAAGGCAATCTATGGATGAAAGAATACATACTAAAAACAAGTTAATGATTTGCCTTATTTTGCCACAACCAAGTCCTTGTGGAACGCCTAGTCCCATTCCAGAGGGGAACAAGCAGATGGCTATACTATTCTTTCATTCTTTTCCAATACTGTTTAAGAGACTCAAGTAAAATTACAGTTATTTAAAAGCAGCCTTTCAATTCTTTCAGGGGAAAAAATTTAAGGTGACAGACCTGATGTCATTAGATTCTTTATTTACCCAGGTAATGAGTGAACTGGGAGAAACACCCAGGCAATGAGTGGACTGGGAGAAACACCCAGGCAATGAGTG